CCTTTCAAAGAGGTGTTGCAATAATATCATAAGAACGAGGCACATTGGCAAAGGTGCTGTATTCTGGAATGAGGTCAATACTGTCTGGACCTCCAGGACAGGAAAATCTGAAGTCCTGCAGGAGCGTCACCAAGAAGATAAAGAGCTCCATACGAGCCAGAGATTCTCCGACACAGGATCTTTTACCTGTGAACAGACACACATATAAGTATAAAATGGCTTTAGAGTGCCATCAGATAGCTATCTGATTGTTTATCATCTGTGAGGTGATGCCTTTACCTGCTGAAAAAGGAAGGAATGCTGGGAGTTTTTGAAATTTGCCATTTTGGTCTAGAAAGTGCTGAGGATTGAAGGAGAAGGGAGTGGCCCATTGCTTCTCATCTTTAAGGACTGAGTGCAGGAAAGGTATAACTGATGTTCCCTACAAAGACACAAGTTTTTAAAAACAAAACAACAGGCAGTACTCAAGAATAGTGAGGTTGCCCAGAGCAATACAACCAGATACTGAAGAAAAACTAAAGGTTAATCAGTCTGAGGTTCTTTGTACTGAAATATAAATGCCATTAACCCTGACTGTTTATCTTGGTAAGTTTATAAAAACACAGTTTAGAAAAAGAGATGTTGTCCAAGACTCAAGAACAATTCGCAGAAATCTTGGAAAGTAAATCAGTCAATATTATCTGTGATTGCTGGGTATGTATACTAACTATATCTAACTGGCATTGACTCTGAAAAGAAGAGACGCTGCCAAATGATGTTTTTTGCATCCTGTCTAAAGAAAATAAAGCAGCTTCCTCTTCTTGTTCTGTCTCTTCTTTGTCTACATATTCTTGCTTGTGAAAAACATTTTAATGCATGGATTGTCTCCCTAAATATTGACCGTCTCTTTACAAACACATTTTTCTGAGACCCTCTTGACATGTTTGAAGATATTTTACTTGGTTATGTATCGTTTAGGAGTACCTTGGGGATGACATAACCCCTAAATGAAATGTCCTCTAGGGCGTAATGAGGTAGACTGAAGGGGACGATGTCCAGAAAACGCTGAACCTCATGAATGACGGCATCTGTGAACGGGAGAGATTTCCTGTCCTCCATGCTGGGACACCGATCTCTGCCAATCACAGTGTTAATCTCCTCTTGCATTTTTTCTGAAGAAAGTGAAGCAAAATTGATGCCTGCTAAACTTTAAAGCTATCAAAGGCAGCTTTACTAACAAAGTGTTTACACACCCTGTATATCCTTGTGTTTCATCAGCACACTGAGAGCATATCTGATGGTGGAGCTGGTGGTCTCTGTTCCTGCTCCAAACAAATTCAGCACTGTAGATAACAGGTTATCATAGTGGAACTCAGTAGATGGATTATCTTTCTCCTGAATAAGAAAAATGGAGATTTCAAAGAACAAATATATCTTAACATGGATTATATGTTTGCAGTTCTGAGATTTGTTGTAAGTGTAGATTTTAAATAAAAACAGAAAAAAAGTTAGGTTAGTCTGTATCTAAATTACTTGAATCAAAAGAAAAAAAAACAAAAATAAAAGCTTACTATTGATTATTTAGCAACAATACAAAAAATGTGTCAAACATCTTGTCAGGGTTATTTGAATTAACTGGATCCAAATTCTGACCAATTTATCATGCAAAATCAGGTGCATACTGTGAACCAGTTATAAACATATTTTGAAAATTGATAACTTACATGTTCTATTATTCTGTGATTAAGAACTGTATATCTACCAAAGTAAAGGTTAAGAATGTCAAATTATAGCTGAGTATTTGCTTAATTTCGCATGAGTGTCTAAGCTGAAATCATATGCTCTAATCATAGAACAAACATCATGTATAGAGAGACACGCAAAAAAAAAAAAATTCCAACATTCCCTTTGCTTTATTTTCTCCTAATTGCTGTTTTGATTTATAGAGATAAGCTTTTCTTACTTAAAAGCAAAAAGATCCAGTTAATTTTTGTTAAACTGATTAATTAAAACAAGAAAAATGCACCAACCTGATGAGCCCGGATAAGGAAGCAGTCAATAAAGTCTCTCGGTGAGCTGGGATCCAACGTCTCTTTATGCTCTTGGATTTTGATCTTGATGAAATCTCTGATCTGATCAATCCCAGCGAAGACAGACTGATGCGGTCCAGGAAGCCTTTCCATGACCGAAGGGAAGATGTTGTACAGCTGCACGAAAAACAACATAGTTGTTTCCCAGAACATAATATGCTACCATACTGGTTCTGGAACTGTGAAATTGTTAAAAATATTAAATATGAAAGACACCCATGACTCTAAGGTGTAAGTAGTAATTTTATTGCATAAATCTGCTAATTATTCACTGATATTTTGTTGAGCTCTTTTTTCTATTTTGTTAAAGTATTCAGTGTTCTTAGCATTGATAACTGCCAATCTCAATTAACTAAAACAAAACTCAAATGTCCAGTAAAATTTACCTTAACAAAAATTTGCATCTTTTAGTTAAAATCCTAGTTTGCACAAAGAGTTACAAAGAGCAAAAGGGTGTGTTTTTGTAAGAAACCTGGGACTACACTTCTTCCCGCCCAAACATGGCCAATCAGGAAGTGTTGACCATATTACTTAAAAAAGTAGCTAGCTGCATTAACAAGTTATATTCCGCAATAACTGAGCTGATGCAGTTGCTTCATTCTAAAAACAATTAGTCTCTACGCATAATAACTATACAGTTAGTTTTTATTATCTTTAATATCTATAAATGTTTAGAATAATCCTTTTATCACAAGTGTAATTACAATTGTGAGTTAAATTACTGAATGTTAGTTATAAACATTAATTAATAAAATAAGTATACATTGTGCACCAATATACACCAACTTAATGGGGGAGCATGGGGGGGGTCAATTAACATTAAAACTGCAATATTGTATATATATATTTATTACTTAATTACTACTATGGTTAATGCTAATTGTAAAATAGCAATAATACCAACAAAATTTTAGAGCTTGATATTTTTGCACATTAACAAGCTTCAACGGCCTCAGCATTAAGGTAAAATTTTAGTTATAAAAGTAAACAATAACAGTATACAACACAAGTAATTTCAGTTTAAAAAAAGGAGAGTGTGATGGATGGATCAGACTGGAGTATCCAAATATAAGTGCATAATTTACCAACTTAGTGCTGCTTCAAGTCATGTGTTTAAAGACTTTGTTTCTGACAATTAAGCTCATATCAGAGTAAAGATTGACCTTTTGTTACAATGGATGTAAAATACTGCTTAAACTTGTAGTTTAGGAACACTGGTATTGAAACTGGAGCTTGGACTGCTGGTGGAAAACCAGCTTCCTGACTGACAGCTAGTGAGCAGGTGAGAATGGGGAGCATAGGACACATCAGCAACAGAGCCCCATACCCAGGGGTATTCTCTCCAAATGCATCTATGTGGCACACAAAAAACTGCACCTCAGCTGACCTTTATGCGAAACTCGTGAAATTTACACACACACACGGCTACACACAATCCCTGTGGATGCTTCTGCATTATTATTCTATATGGACGATAGTTCCAATATCTACAAATGCTTCTGGAAGAACGGAAATATTAGTCCAGGTTCCAATCAATGTTTTGGTGCCCCTTCCTACTTAACAGGGCTGTGGAAAAGTCCTAACAATCAGATAATAATCAGAATCTGGGGCATGGTAGAGTGGGCTAGGATCTGATCACTGGGATACTCGTACCAAAAAACTACTGAAATTTAATAAAAATTTTCTTCAACAAATTACAATGGACACTTGTGATACCAGCTTAACTTTTTAATGCTTTAATTTTTCTAACCAGGCTACATGTGATACAAATTAGCCAATGAGCTGTGTCAGTCTAAGTTACTACTGCTAGCCACTTTTAGACAGCAGGCAAACCTTTAGCAAGCCAGGTGGTGAGAAAGAAGG